TTTTAAGTTTAAGTCATGTTGGACATAGAATTATTGAAATATCTGATTTTAAGTTATTGGATTGTTAGATGTGAATTGGATAAGTTCCGAGCCTTGTGCATTTGTGGGATCTTCTCACGAGTGCACGGCGTCTGTCGCCCCTCGAATTCGGGTTTTGGGGCGTGACAGATTTAGTGGTATCAGAGCTTAGGTTTAATTAAGATTTTGTGATGTTAGAGTCTAGGTTTAATTAAATACCTAGGATTTGTTTTGGTTTTGGCTAGCCAATGGATCTTAGAACCGTGGTGAGACAAGTGATGGGGTTAGACAAGGGACGATTTTGATTGTAAAGGTTGGTGAAATTGATCTAGTTCTGGAACTTTTAGTTTGGATGATAAACTGAGCTGATAATGATAAATCTGGAATTTGTGTTCGGGGATTTTAATGCTCTGTTGGTAAAAATTCTTGCAAAATTGATTGACTTAGTTTTATGGTTCCTTGTGTCATTGTATCTTCTAAGGATGTGATATTGTGCTTAGGCTCAAATCTGTTTTGCGTTGAGGCTTACAGTTTTGGGTGTATGATGAAGAGGGACTCTAAGCTTTTCAGCTCCTCCCCTCTTCCTTCCACTTCTGAGATCATTTCCAATTCGTGATACTTTTGTTCTCTAAATCTCCAGTTCCCTTCAGTTTTTGGAGTTGTTGATGATTTTAGTGTCTGTGTGAATCTGCTTGTAAGCTTCTGTTTTAGATTTAAAATAAGTTATTTTGCATTCGTAATGGTAATTAAATTGGTTCGTTTCTCGTGTTTCAATCGTATGACTGGTTCAATATATCTGTTTGATATTTGATGATTTTGAGTGGATAACTTGATTTGCCTGTGTAATGAACTTAGATGTGAAGCGACAATGATCAATCAAGAATTTTAATATGTTTTTTTATTGAAATCCTTATGGGATTTGAGTCTATATTTTATACGTGCCTATGTCATGCCAATGTCTAGGCTGTGGTTGATGCCACTTAGTTTCTGTACATATCCAAATGCTTTTGCAGGAAAGGAGATAGTGTGAAACACGAGTGAAATTTTCCTGCTAAATAGTCTACCAAATATTTTTGCCTAGACTTGCTTCTAGATGTCCATACCTGAAGTTGCTGTTTTTGAGCTCATTTCTGCGTTGTTCTAGGTGTGTTTAAGGCTAATTGTTCCTTTGTGTTGGTCTTAAATTGTCATGGAATTTATACTAAACTCTGGTTTGGAACTACCCTAATTTCTGAAAATTTCCAGCTCAATCCATATGTAATTGATGTGAATTCTGGCAGCCTGACCTTGGAGTGGTATTATGTACATAACTTCTTGTGTAGATGTTGGATTAAAGCCACTCCTGGTTTTATAGAGAGCTAAGAGATAGAGTTTAATTTTCCGGTTAAGCATTCAAACCAGTTCTGCCACTTTCAAGGACAAAAATCTTGTTGTAATCTTTGTGTTTAGAATCTGACTAGTATTTTGCCCTTTTATTCAGTTGTTTTTTTGGTCTGTTTTGGGCAGATTCTCCATTTTGTAAGCATAGATTTTGACTCTTGGTAGCTGTAATTGAAGTTAAAATGATATTTATCTGGTTAACATGATCCTAAACTAAGGCTAATGCAAGAAGTGGGCTTAATTAAGAAGAATGCTTAACATGCAAGCTCAATTATGAATTGGCCTATGGCTAGGCTATAAGTCAATGCTGGATTAAAGCTGAGACTACATGTTGGACATATAGATATGGCTTTGGAAAGTTTTAATTGATGCAAGTTAATGTGTTATTCTGCTGTGATTTAATATTGAATTATCTTGCCATATCTAAAGTACAAGCATGACAGTGCATAGAGTGCTGCATATATGAGCTAGATAGAACCCGATTGTTGGACTGAGAGTGTGAAGACGGATATATTTAGAAATATCCTTATTTTGTTATATTGATTAATTCTAGTCAATTAAGATGTTGATCTGAATGTCTCGATCATATATCATAGGTATATCTGCCCTGATTTTATTATGGTGTCATTTTTGGGATTCTTACCCATGACTTGTGAGGGGTCTAATTCTTGACTGTTAATTGGTAAAAAAAATAATAATAATAAAATAAAAAATAAATAAAAAAATTTGTCTCTTGATTTTAGTTGCCTATTTAAACATGATTTAATTATTGATTAACCTTGGGTTGTGGTTTGGAGTGTCTCTGCACTCTAAACTCTGGTAAGAAGTTACATCAGCATGAGGTCCTCTCTTGGACTTAAAATGTGATGAATTACATTGATTTATTGATGCCAAACTTAAGAAAAATAGCAGCCTCGTTACCTTTTAAAATTAACTGCAAAATTCTGCTCTTGTCACAGTTGGTTAGGTCTTTAGGCAAAATGTAATTGTTGTTCCATATCAGTTTCTAGCTATACCTTGTTGAGTTTCAAGGTAAATTATGTTGCCTGTATTTTCCTTGATTCACTTTGATGAGATAGTAATTCAGTTAGTTCCTGTTATCTTCCGTTGGTGAGAATTTTTGAAATTAATCTTTACTCGTTATGCCCTTAAGACCTTGTTTGAAACTTGGTCCCTTGTGATAGTATGCTTGGTTTTGGTTGTGGCAGGATGTATAAGGTCTTCCACATTAGGTCTGTTTGTTTAAGTATTCATTTGGGCATTCACACATGAATGCAAACATAGACATACATCAGCATATACATGCATACATGCATGCACACATGAGCATTCATGCATGCACACATGCGCATAAAGGCATTCATTCATAAATGCATATACATGCATTCATCCATTCATGATCCCATATATCCGAGTGATGCTTATCCGTCTCGGATAAGGTTCCATCTTTTAGTTGTACTCATCATTAGATTCCTTGCCATATTGTTGTGTTTGATGAGTACCGGGTATTGATTTGAGTCAAGGGCACCACATCATCTCGCCAATAACTCTCGAGTTTAGTTACTTGTGTTGAGGCGTGAAGTTATCTCCTGCTTCCCAAATGGCCATTGGGGAGGGTGGAGATCAAGATTTTTGTTGGCTTGTTAGAGCAATGATGAGTATTCATTCCCTGTGAAGTGAATCTGACTATTATACCCTTGTAATTGTTAGCCGTGTATTTGGGATTGATTTCCTTGTTATTGTTGTTGTGGATGCTAATGCTGCTACCTATTTTGTGTTTAAAATTTGGTGCGTAGAATGTGGTCCTTGTTTAGATTGTTTAGGTTGATATAAATTGTCATTCTAGAGTGACATTTGTTTTGTTTTCAACCTGACTTTTAAAGTATTTAACCAGTTTTGTGACAGCTATCCAGTTGTTTCTTTGTTAGAAATCCTTGTTGGTTTACTTGCATCTAGTTACCTACAAAGAGTCCGTCCATGAAACCTGTAGAGCTATGATGTCCCTCATCTAGAGTTTGCTTTGTTTGTGGATTATTATTGAGAATAAGTGGTTGAAATTGTGCAAAACCTAAACCATACCCTTTAGGGTTGCAGAACATTTGGGTGGTTATATGCCTCCTGTGTTGTGCTACAGTGCCCTTTGCTACAAATGAAGGAGTTGTTAGCTCAGGCGTTTTCTCTAGGACAAAATGGTACTTTAAGGATATGCTTTAGATGGACTTTGTATATATGCCCCCCTAATCTAGGGATTTACCTTCGATTTTGCTATGTGCTGTTTCTTGACCGTTAAGACTATGAAGGTCTTAAATTTAAGTTAGAGTCTCCAACCTCAAAATGGCTTTAGTTTTCTTGATGTTTTATCCTAGAGCTTGGAATACATTTAAGTTACTGGAATGTAATGTTAGTTATAGAGGCCATTATTTGGAACTCGAATTTTATGCAAGAAAAGTTTAGATCCTCCGTAATTCCTTGATTTGATTTCGCTTAATCTTCTAAATTCTTAATTTAAGTTATATCTTTGAAAACATTTGGCTAACCAATTTATTGTGAGAATGGGAAATTTGTCCACATAGATTTTTTTTTTTCTAAAGCATTTTCCTTGGCTTATGCTTGCATTCTTGAAGAATTTTGAGCTATTCTTTCACAAGCTACCCATTGGGTTGGAGGCCATGATTTAGGTCTCAATTCGACCAGTGTGTCAAAATTCATGCCATGCCATTCCTTGTTAGCTCGTTTTATTTTGGGTTCATAGCATAGTAAAGCTAATGTTTTCGGTAGCCTTGGTAAGAATCTCATCTGCGTTTCTTTGGAATGCAAATTAATTCTGCTTTATTCTGGTTCTGCTCTGTCCTTCCAGCATTCTGTTTTTGTGGAATTTATGGTCTCTGATTTTGTTATGACTTTCTCTGATTTGGAAATGATCTAGAGTCTGATTTGGGGTTCATGATCGTGAAAAAGGTTTGTCCCTTGATTAGCAAAGAGCGATTTTGTAGTGGTGGCTTCATGATTCCCTCCGTTGCTTTGATTTTTCAGAAATATTGATTTATTGATTCTGCACTGCTATGGCCATATGATGGTTGTCATATGATGGGCACTAGTTGTCTTAGATTGCGTGAAGCCATTCACCAGTCTAAATGATTCTAGATTTGAGTTTTGGGGACAAAACTCCTTTTTAGGAGGGGTGGATGTAATACCCCAAAATTTATAGAGCATTAAAGTGAGTTAGGGACCTAATTGTGAAGAAATACTATTAATGAACTTAATAGCAAATATTTTCAAAGTCCAAGGACTAAAAAGAAAGGAAATTAGGATAAGGATCAAGGCTGATATTTTTATCCTCAGCCACGTGTTTTGCTATTCATCTTCATTTTTTTTCCTCCCCTTTTCTCCCCCGACAAGCCCCCCAAGCCACCGACTCTCTCCCTCTTGAAAACCCGGTGAGATCTTGATGAAATTTCTCTTCTTTTCTTGTTAAATCACAAGATTTGGGGCTTAGAATCTTCCCTCTCAACCCAGAAAATCTCGGTTCTGCTCTGTTCTTCTCCCCTGTCCGCCGGCTGCTATAGGGGTGTGAAATTTTGGAGCTTTTTCTGGTAAGATCTAGCCATGAATCCCTCTCTTTAACCTTGATTCAGGCTGGGTTTACCTTAATTGCTTTTATTTCCCTCAATTTTGAGGTAGCCCGTGAGCCCCTCTACAGAAATGCCGCCGGCTTCTTCTCCCTGCCAGCTCCGGTTTGCTTACTGGAATTCTGGTAAGTTGCCGGCTCTTCTAAGTCCAATTTATCCATGTAGTTGTTGCCTTGTGTTGATTGGGTTTCTACTTTTGAATTGCCCCTTTGCTGTCCGAAACTTGCTGGAAGTAGGGGATGAGTTGGCAGCCATTAAATGCGTTTTGTTGTTTAAATTATGTGGAAATTACTTGAATTACCTGCTGTGATGTTTTGTGTGAAAATCTCGTGTGTGTGAATTGTGATTTGCCAAAGTTATGCTCTCCCGATGCTGCCGTGAAAAATGGGAAAATTTTGGTAGATTAAGTTATGTTTTCAAGCTTGGTTTAAGTGTAAATTAGCTTGAATTGGGTTGTGGTGATTTTGGAGAAAAACCCCGTGAATTAGCTATGTTTTGCCAATTTTGGGAGTTGAAGTTACGGGTACTGTTCATAGGTACTGTTCATAGGCACTGTTCACACACCGAGGGTCAACGATTAACGGGGATTTAAATGATTAGTTTGTGATATAAGAATAAATGTGGAGATGTTCGGTTATGTGGAGATTGATAGAAATAGCACCGTGATTAGGGGTAGTGCTAATGATGATTTCACTGTGAATTTGTGGTGGTGCGGTATTAACTTTGGAATATTGTGATTAGGTTTTGATCGTTTTGCCACCGCAGCACTTGGGTTAGCCTTCTGTTCTGTGCAAGTGAGGTAAGTAAATCATGGTAAAGCCTTTCGATTTTAAAGCATGTTTTAAACTGTTTTTGAGATGGTGGCAAGGTTTAAATTGATTTTAAATTGATTTTATCAGCATCTGAATGTGATTAAATTGAAATGGAAATTGTGATGGTTTTTATGAGAATTTCATTGTTTTCTGGAATTGAGCATGATTGGAATGAAATTGTTTTCGTTGCATTGAGTAGAGCATGCCTTTTTGGAAATTGACTGAACTGTTTTGATGAATTGAGAGTTTTTGTAAATTCTGAGTTTTCTGTTAAATCCATGCTCACATGGAGATTTTCCGGTTGTTTCTGAAATTGGAGATTGATTGTCCTGATGATCTGAAAGTGATTGGTGAATTATGTTTTTCTGTTAACTTCAACCTGTTTTGTCTCCGATATGGTCATGTTATTCTGTTGCCCGCTAGTGGGAGTTATAAACGCTAGCACATGTCGACATGTTACTGATAGAACCGGTTCGTTTCTGTTATCCTGCTAATGGGATTAAACACTAGCAATTTCTGTTGCCTGCCAGTGGGAGTTTTAAACACTGGCCATGACCTATAGAGGAGACGTCTATTTCATGCCCGTACTGTATCTGTTTTCATGATTACACGGGTTGGCATGCTATGAGTTTAATTAACGGGTTGACATGAGACGTTTTGTTATTGAACTGAATCTGATCTTACATTGACGGTTTGTCATTGAATGCTTTGCAAGTGAACTGAATCTGATTTTGTCATTGAGTGATTTGTTATGCTAAACTGGTTTATCTGGCATGCTTAAAAGTTTTACCCAAGGGCTATCCATATTTACTTACTGAGTTTATCTAATAGTTTTTCCTTGTCCACCATTTCAGGAAGTGAAACCGAGGACGGGGAAACCACGGGAAGTGACGAGTTAGAAGGCTAGCCATTTCGAGATTGATATAGATTTTAGAAATAAATCATGTTTTGTAAGATAGATTTTACCTTGTGATTTTAAGTTTAAGTCATGTTGGACATAGAATTATTGAAATATCTGATTTTAAGTTATTGGATTGTTAGATGTGAATTGGATAAGTTCCGAGCCTTATGCATTTGTGGGATCTTCTCACGAGTGCACGGCGTCTGTCGCGCCTTGAATTCGGGTTTTGGGGCGTGACACGCCGTCTGTGGGAAACCGAATTGAAAGCTTTATTGTTGCTCTTTCATCATGGTTCACAGTCGATCAGTCCGAGCTAGCAATTCATCTCTGCCTCTTGGGCAAAGTCAACCCCCCAACAACCTTCCACCTCTGATCCCACCTCAACTCCCACCTCAGCCTCCTCCTCAGGTCCCAGCTAGGTTCTCTCTTGTTGATCATGCAAAAGGAGGAGATGAAAATCAACCACACAATTCGGCTCACAACTTAGCCTCTACTGCTAACCAAGACGTAGTTGCAGCTCAGCTCGCTGCCATGCAACAACAGTTTGGTGTCTTTCGGCTAGTGCTGGCTCAACTATTAGCCCGGAACAATCCTGGTGATCCACTCATTAACCTACTTAATCCCGCTCCATAACCCCCAGCTCTGCAACAAAATCCTGAGCCAGTTCAGCATGCTCTTGCTATTAGCGAATCTTAGGGCCAATCTCACATTGCACCAGTTTAGCAACCCCTTCATGATGATGTCACTCGACGTCTAGATAGCTTAAAAAAGCTAGTGGCTGAACAGCGAGGTGCCCCACCTCCACACCATGTTGCTGACTCCATACCTCACCCTCTGAACACCAACATTACATTGGAACCCTACCACGCTGGCTTCAAGATACCACAACTTGAAACTTATGACGGGATGAAGGACCCCAATGATCATCTACATGCTTTCTATTCTTATATGCAAGCCCAAAACGCCTTTAATGCGTTGATGTGCAAAATCTTTCCCTCTACTCTCCGAGGCAATGCTCGAACTTGGTACTACAGTCTACCTCCGAGGTCAATCAGCTCTTATACAGAAATGGCATCTGCTTTTGCCACAAAGTTTTCCAATCGAAGGTTGATTAGGAAAACCACCTCTGAGCTGATGCGAGTTAGGCAACGGGACAGAGAGTCTTTGAAGAATTTTATGAGCAGATTCAATGATGCAGTACTGGAGGTTAGCTCTTTCGACCAGGCTGTGGGAATTACAGTTGTGATCTCAAGACTTAGCCATGAGAGATTCAGAGATAGTTTGCTCAAACATCCTGCCACCACCTTCAGCGAGGTACATGATAAATCATTGAAATTCATAACTGTTGAAGAATATGCCTTGTTGCAGAAACCAACCCTTTCTAAGAACCAACACCCCGAATGGAGAAATGACAATCCGAGCAGGAAAAGGATGAGGATGGTTCAGAATCGAGGTCCGATGCCGACCTCTACACCGAGATTCGGAGCGCCGAACTTTACTCCCCCGTAACCATTTGCAGGTAAACCTCCAGTTAATTGAAATCCTTTTAATATGCCGAGATCACAGATTTTTATGCAGATCAAGAATAAGATGGATTTAAGGCGTCTTGGTCCAATGAAGACCACTGCTACTAGCGAGATCATACCAGATATTGTGACTATCATCAAGATCACGGCCATACTACAGAGCAATGCAACAGCTTAAAGTCCGAACTGGAAAGTCTAGCGCAGAAGGGAATGCTGAATGAGTACGTTCAGAGAGTTGAACAGCCGAAGTTCGTCCGAGAACAAAGGCCATAGCCTCAAGGAGTCCGCAATCCCCCAAATAGGCAAGGCATGGGATATCAGTAAGCCCCACCTCCACTCCCACCACCAGCTAGAATCATACACATGATTACGGGAGGCCTAGAAGCCAGTGGACTGGGCTCTAAATAGTGAAAGCTATATGTCAGAGAGGTCAAGCATCAAAACCGGGCTCAGAAACGGAAGTTTAATGACGCTAACTGGAAAAGTCAACCCGTTACTTTCACATCTGCTGATTTCGACACAGTTGTTACACCCCACAATGATCCTTTGGTCACATCTGTCATGATTAACAACTGTGAAGTACAACGTGTCCTCGTTGATATTGGGAGTGCACCAGATATCATGTACTTCCACTGTTTCGAGGGTCTTGGACTGGATCCAGCATTGTTGCAGAAATATGATGGTCCCATCTATGGTTTCAATAACCAGCCAGCTCCAGTTGAAGGTGTCCTAACCATGAATGTTGCATTTGGGAGTGGTTGAACCTATGTGACTCCTTCCATCCGGTTTCTAGTAGTCAAGATGGCGTCCTCCTTCAACGTTGTTATTGGCCGACCCACGCTGATTGAAATCCGAGCTGTGGTTTCCCAATCTCACCTTTGCATGAAGTTCCCCACTCCTATAGGCATAGTAACACTACGAGGTAACCAGGAGGTGGCTAGACATTGCTATATCACCTCGGTAACACAACCTAAGAAGTGCAAAGATTAGATACTTGAACCCGTCCCCCCATAGATTTTTGACAATCAACAAGTCATGGGTGTTGAGATCGTAGATAACCGACCGAAAGATGAAACCAAAGCTGCTCCAGTTGAGGATGTTGAAGAAGTGCACATTGATGACAGAGATCCGAGCCAAAAAATGCAAATTGGAACTAAGTTGAACCCGGGGGAAAAAGCAGAGCTAATAGCTTTCCTTCGGGCCAACAAAGATGTTTTTGCATGGATTTCAGCAGATATGCCGAGAATTCCCACTTTGGTTTCTCAACATAAACTTAGCACTAATCCACTCAAGAAACCAGTAGCCCAAAAGTGGCGCCTCTTTGGAGGGGAGAGGTTACAGGTCATTAAAGAAGAAGTTGAGAAACTTCTACAAGCTGGCTTTGTCAGGAGGGTCGATTATTGTGAATGGGTCACCAATCCTGTGCTGGTGAAAAAGCAAACGATAAATGGCGGATGTGCATCGATTACACTAACCTCAACGACGTATGTCCAAAAGACTGTTACCCAATGCCAAACATTGACAAGCTGGTTGAGGCAGCTTCTGGAAACGAGAGATTAAGTCTCTTGGATGCATACTCTGGCTACCACCAAGTTCCAATGGTTCTTGAGGATGCAGATAAAACCTCGTTCTATGCTGACGATAAAATCTATTGTTATGTAATGATGCCCTTCAGCTTGAAGAACGCAGGTGCCACTTACTAGAAGATGGTTACCATCGTATTCCGAGCTCAAATAGGCCATAATCTGGAGGTATATGCTGATGATATAGTGGTAAAAAGTTTGAAAGTTGGAGATCACTTAACTGACCCCAAGGAAACGTTCAACAACCTCAGAAAGAACAGGATGAGGTTAAACCCAACAAAGTGTATTTTCGAGGTAAAGTCGAGAAAATTTCTATGCTTCATGGTGTCCAGAAGGGGGATTGAGGTCAACCCTGAGAAGATCAAAGTAGTAGCTGAGATGGAACCACCAAATTCAGTGAAAGATGTGCAAAGGTTGACGGGGAGAGTAGCAGCTCTTCATAGATTCATTTCGAAATCAATAGATAAATGCTTGCCGTTCTTCAAGATCATGAGATTGGCAGCTCAGAAGGATGAATCTGGCAAGCAAAAGAAGTTTGCATGGAATTCAGAATGTCAAGCTGCATTTGACGAGCTGAAGTCTTATCTTAGCTCACCTCCCTTGCTGACAAAGGCTAATGATGGAGAAATCCTTTACTTGTACCTCGGGATATCAGATGAGGCCATCAGTTCTGTGTTAGTAAAGGAAGAGGGAAAGCAACAGAAACTAGTTTATTACATCAGTAGCGTGTTACGTGGAGCTGAAGTCAGATATTCCATTGCTTAGAAAGTAGCCTTAGCAGTTGTCACTTCGGCCAGGAAACTGAGACCGTATTTCCAGTCACATCCAATCATCGTCCTTATAGACCAACCTCTTCGACAGATTCTGCAAAAGCCAGAGTGCTCTGGAAGATTGATTAAGTGGGCAGTAGAACTGGGGGAATTCGAAATAACATTTTAACAGAGATCTGCAATCCAAGCTCAAGCACTGGCAGATTTTATTGTAGAGTGCACTCCGGGTCATTCAACCCCCAATCCAGAACCAAACAACTGGACCTTATATCTTGATGGGGCATCTAGTAGCAAGGGTTCAAGAGTTGGTGCTCTCTTGATTGGCCCAGATGGATACCGAGGTGAACATGCCTTGAAATTTAACTTCGTTGCAACAAACAACATGGCTGAGTATGAAGCTTTGCTGCTTGGTCTACAACTAGCATTGGAGTTGAAAATCAACTCAATCCAAGTATACAGTGACTCCCAGCTGGTGGTGAATCAAACCAACTCGATCTGTGAAGTCATTGATCCTGTGATGGTGAAATATGTAGCCCTGGTGGCTGAGCTGAAATGCAAATTCCAGAAATTCTATCTAAGTAAAATTCCACGAACTGAGAACGAACATGCATATTCACTCTCAAAATTTGCCTCTGATAGCTCCTCAAGTTCCAGATCAATTTTTGTGGAAGTTTTAGATGAACTAAGCTTCGTGAAGCCACGGATAATGGAGATCAGCACAAATCCGGACACGCCGAGTTAGACTGACTCAATTATTTCCTTTTTACGAGATGGGATAGTACCTGCGGACAAGCAGGAGGCAATGAAGTTGAGAAAGAAAGCATCTCGGTATGCACTCATTATTGGGGTCCTCTATAAGAGATCTCTTTCACTCCCTCTTCTATGGTGTTTGAATCCTTATGAAGCTGAATATGCACTTCGGGAGGTACGTGAAGGTGTTTGCGGGAGCCACGTTGGTGCTAGAACTCTGGCTCACAAAGTCTTAAGGCAGGGATATTATTGGCCAAACATGTATAAGGATGCCACTCACTTTGTTCAGAGATGCCCGAAGTGCCAATTCTTTGCACATCTGACTCACCAACCAGCAAAGGATCTCACAAACTTGGTAGCACCATGGCCATTCGCTCAGTGGGGGCTGGATCTTCTAGGCCCATTCGTGAAAGGGGTTGGTGGTGTAACCCATCTGATCATTGGCGTGGATTATTTCACAAAATGGGTTGAAGCTCGGCCATTATCCAGTCTTACATCCAAGAAGGTCGAAGACTTTGTTTTCAGTTCGATCATCTACAGATATGGGATCTCGAATCAGATTGTGGCTGATAATGGAACACAATTCAACTGCACTTCTTTCCGAGATTTTTGTTCCAGCTACGGGATTAAGTTGTAGTTCACCTCGGTTTACCATCCGGAGTCCAATGGTATGGTAGAGTCTGTTAATAAATGCATTCTAGAAGGAATAAAACCGAGGTTGGAGCAGCACAAGGCCAAGTGGGCAGACGAGCTCAACAACATCTTTTGGGCATACAGAACAACGAGCCGAACTGCTACAGGTACTATTTCCAACCCAAGTTCCTTTCATTTTCATTCTATTCCCCTCTTTCACCTAAAATTCTATCGTAGATCAAATATGCATAATATATAAAGCATATTCTAAAGCATATAATTACATCAAATAGGTGAAACACCCTACCACCTGGCCTTTGGTACCGAAGCAGTCATTCCTGTTGAAATAGGAGTCCCAAGCTTCTGGGTCACCCATTTCGATGAAGGGACAGCTGCTTTGGGAAAACCTTGATTTACTTGCCGAAGTCAAGGAAGAAGCACGGCTTCGGACTCTTGTATACAAGCAGAAACTAGCCAACTTCTACAATAAACGAGTCCACCCTCAAACATTCAAAGTAGGAGACCTTGTTCTCAGAAAAGATGGCCTAACAGGGTTTGAAACTCGTTTTGGCAAACTCGCCCCAAATTGGGAAGGCCCTTATACCGTGGCCGAGGTGCCACATCCTGGTGCCTATGTCCTCCAAGACGCTGAAGGAAAGAGAGTTCCTAGAGTCTGGAATGTCAATAACTTGAAGAAATTTTACCCCTAATAAAAGTCTTTCAAGAGATCTATGTCTTACAGTTCTTACTTCATGATTGTTGAGATTCATTTTACCTCTTATTCTATGTATCCGAGGTCAATTAGTCCATTCATTCCTTGAACCTCACTTCTGATTAATAAATGTCACTTCACATATAAAGTGCGTTATTTCCTTTTAATTCATTTGTAGTAATGCACTTGTTCTTAATTTACCTGAAGTGATTTACTTCTTCTTAATTCGTCTGAAGTGACTTACTCCCCTTTGATTCATTTCTGAAGTGGTTAGCTTTCTTTCAAATCACGTCTCAAATAATCTCAGTTCTTTTATTAATAAAAAATAACACAAATATAAAGCAAACATAAACAAACACATGATTTCAAAACTGAATTGTCATTTAAGTAACAACGGTATTACAAATTGTTTAAATGTTTTTACAAAAATCAAAAAACAAAAATTATTTCTCTGCTGGCGGAGGTGGTTGTGTTGGCTGCTGCTCGTCTGGCAGAGGAGGCTGCTCATCGTCAGAAGGAACTGGATGAATTTTCACTTCTGGAACTAGTTGGCTCTCATCCATTTCAGTTCCTTCCACTCCTGCCTCCACTTCGTCTTCCTCTACCTCTGCCCCTTCTTCCTCCACTGCCACGAACTCGAAGTCGAACTGTGGAGGGAAAACAGCACATCCGTCTACATCAAGCTCCCACCTCAGTTTGATCTGAGGACGGAAGTCTGCTGACATGCTCTCACCGTCCTCTTCCACTCATTCTTCTTGCTCTCCGAAGGTGATCTTTGTAATATCCACTTCGGGATATTTAGCCTTCACCTTCTTTCTGCAGTCCGTGAAGGCAATGATGGCAGTGGGCAGCCGGTACAAGTTGACGATGTTGTCAAATGAACTGGAGCTGATGAAGTTGCTGATGTGCTCCTTCATCCCATTGTGCACCAACACCTGCACATTCTCCTTCAGCTCCATGAACACATCCTTCATCAGCGCTATTTCTTTCGCCTGAGCCTCACGCTCGCTTTCGGAGGTCCTTCATTTGCTCTCCTCAAAGACGAGCTTGGTGCTTAGGGAAGCCCTCTCCTGCTCCAGCTGTTTCACAGTTGGAACCACCTCGTTCAGCGCCTCTTGCAGGTCTTTGTTCTTCTTCTCCAGCTCCTCCTTCTCTTTCTACAGCTGGTCACACTGCCTCTGCAAGAGGGAGCGCTTCTTCACGCTATCCATGAACTTTGGGCTAGACCATTCACCTAGCTCGCGCTCTGCAAATCAAAGCAGAAGTTAAGAGACAAAGAAGAGAAGAAGAAAAATATTAAACAAATAGCACCAATACCTGCAAATAACTTCACATACCTTTAAAACGTGCTTCACCACTGAAGCCCCACAATACCTCAGAGCCTCATCCCGCGCGTTGCGTTTGTCCACTTCGGGGAAGGTGGTGTTGATGAACCACCTAGCCCCCCATCATGTTCTTCGCCTCGAACAGGCTTCTTTGGAATGCCATTGGGGGATCAGGGCCCTTCCCCTTACCGGGAGCTCGTACCTCAACCCCCTCCTCCAACTGTCTGAGCTTAGGGTCCAGCTCAACAGGAAGAGGCTGAGGTACGAACTGGGGAACCTCGCTCCCCCTCTCCTCCTCCTCCACCACCTTCTTCTTCTTCTGTAGTGCCTTCCTCTCCTCCCAACCCTTCCTCTTCAATTGTGGCACCTCCTCCTCCACCTCAGCTGAAATGGTGGGCACTACCTTCTTCCCAGCCCTCCCCTCATCCACTTGCTTGGTTGAAGTCTTTGACTTCTTCCTTGGCTTCTTGGGGATGGTCACTCCTCTAACAGTGTTCAAAAACTGATCCATTTCAGCTGCAAAACAAGAAAACACAATATCAATCACAGTTCTATATTCTACATTCAATACTACAATGCAAAATTAAACCAACCTTCACTTAAAGCGCTTGGCCCATAGAGCTCAACAGCTTCTATGCATTGTGCGTTGGTGAGGTCCATAATGTTCAGTAAATCCCCCCTCTTCCTCACCAACTTTCTCACTTGTTCCTCCTCATCCTCATTTAAACTAAACCTATTTTGGTTGGCTCTTTTAGCCTTCCAGGATGCTAACTCCCTCACCTTGGTATCCCCCCTCTCCCACTCCGTATCATCTACAAAAAAGAAATTTTCCTTCCATCCTTTAATGGATGAAGGACCCGCAGTAAATAAAGACCTACTCTCCTTACTAGCTACCCTAGGGGTGAAATAATACCACCCCTTATCCCTCTTACTACCCCCTTTAAAACAAAAAGGTACTTAAACATATTTACGATTGGCACATTAATCCCCTGAGCTCAACAATAGACTAAAAATCCTATTATTACCCTCATAGCGTTGGGGACTAATTGTGTCAACCCTATGTTATAATCTAATAGCAAACCTACTAGTAGCTTAGGAATTGGAAACCTCAGCCCCGCTATCAAATAGTGGGCGTACACAGGCATCCAATGATCCCGAGGTGCAGAACATGCCCTTTCCTCCACCCCAACTGGTCTAACTAACACTCAGGAAGAGATCTCGTAATTCTCAACTAAATGACCCAGGCTATCCCTAGTCTTGAGTTCAAACCTATACTGCTTCACCTCCTCCACTATCTCTGCATTCACATCATAATCTCCCTCTCTCATACCCTCTACTTCTACCACAGTGATGGGTATGCTATCCCTTCCCACCCCCACCACCTCATTCCCCCTAACCCCCACCACCTCATCCTCCCCAACCTCCACCACCTTATCTCCTCTCACCCCCTCCACTGTTTTCTCCGAACTAGATGGAGATGGACTACTCTCCGAGTCCATGCTCCCATAGTCCAGGGGCATCACCTCACTCCCTACTATACTTACTGTTTCTTTTGAAGACATTTTCTCCAACTCTGCACGAAGTAGGGGGGAGGAATAAGTCAGGATCCCTTTAAAAAAAAAAAAAAAAACCCCTCTGTTGCACATTCAAAATC